GGATGGGAAAGGAAAGAGAAGGGGAGGGGAGGAGGAGGGTGGGAGAGGAGGGAGGCCCCAGAACCAGCTTTCCCCCAATGATAAATCTGATTCGGGCCATTGCGTTTGTTTATTATAAAAACCGATTGTTCCCAAGCATCCTGTGGTGTTGGGTCCTCGTTTTAAATAGACAGCGCCCCGCGGTCCTTTCTTCCTCTTCGTCCTCCCATTCTCCTCCCCTTCTTCCCTCCTCCGCAGTTCGCGTGCCTCTCTCACACACAGTGCAGCTCTGCGTGGCCCCATAGGGAGCTCCACCTAAGGTCCCAGTGGCGCAGCCCGCTTGCGTCTCCCACACCCAGTACAGCGCTTCGTGGCCCCATAGGGAGCTCCACCGAAGGTGCCAGTTTCGCAGCCCGCATGCGTTTCCCCCACCCAGAACAGCCGTCGTGGCCACATAGGAAGCTCCACCGAAGGTCCCAGTGGCGCAGCCCGCATGCGTCTCCCACGCCCAGTACAACGCTTCGTGGCCCCGTAAGGGAGCTCCACCGAAGGCCTCAGTGGCGCAGCCTCAGGCGTCTCCCCCACCCAGTGCAGCGCTTCGTGGCCCCATGGGGAGCTCCACCGAAGGTCCCGGTCCCAGTGGCGCAGCCCGCATGCGTCTCCCCCAGACATTAACGCTTCGTGGCCCCCAAAGGAGCTCCACCGAAGGTCCCAGTGGCGCAGCCAGCATGCCCAGCACTGGCCTTATATGGAGCTCCACCGAAGGTCCCAGTGGCGCAGACCGCATGCGTCCACCACACCCAGCAAACCGCTTCGTGGCCCCACAGGGAACCCCACTGAAGGTCCCAGTGGTGCAGCCCGCATGCGTCTCCCCCACACAGTGCAGCCGCCGTGGCCCCATATAGTAGTAGTAGTGGGTAGTAGCAGTAGTACTACTACTACTACTACTACTACTACTACTACTACTACTACTACTACTACTACTACTACTACTACTACTACTACTACTACTACCTACACTACTACTACTACTACTACTACTACTACTAGTAGTACTAGACTAGTACTAGCACTAGTACTAGTAGGTAAGTAGTAGTAGTAGTAGTAGTATTAGTTAGTAGTAGTAGTATAGTAGTAGTAGTAAGTAGTAGGTAGTATAGTTCGTAGTAGTAGTAGTAGCAGTAGCAGTAGTAGTAGTAGTGTAGTAGTAAGTAGTAGTCGCATTTTAAAACGCAGCAGCAGTAGCAGATCAGCATCAGCAGCAGCAGTAGTAGTAGTAGTAGTAAGTATAGTAGTAGTAGTAGTGGTAGTAGTAGTATTAGTAGTAGTGTGCGTAGTAGTAGTAGTAGAAGAATAAGCGCAGCAGCAGCACTAGCAGTCCGTAGTAGTAGCAGTAGTAGTAGTAGTAGTAGTAGTAGTAGTAGTAGTAGTAGTAGTAGTAGTAGTAGTAGTAGTAGTAGTAGTAGTAGTAGTAGTAGTAGTAGTACGTAGGTAGGTAGGTAGGTAGGTAGGTAGGTAGGTAGGTCGGTAGGTCGGTAGGTCGGTACGTCGCTAGGTCGGTAGGTCGGTAGGTCGGTAGGTCGGTAGGTCGGTAGGTCGGTAGGTCGGTAGGTCGGTAGGTCGGTAGGTCGGTAGGTCGGTAGGTCGGTAGGTCGGTAGGTCGGTAGGTAGGTAGGTAGGTAGGTAGGTAGGTAGGTAGTAGTAGTAGTAGTACGAGTAGTTGTAGTAGTCGTCGTAGTAGTAGTAGTAGTAGTAGTAGTAGTAGTAGTAGTAGTAGTAGTAGCAGTAGTTGTTGTTGCAGTAGTAGTAGTAGTCGTCGTAGCAACAGTAGAAGTAGTAATAGTAATAGTAGTAGTAGTAGTAGCAGTAGTGGTAGTTGTCGTGGTAGTAGTAGTAGTCGTAGTAGTAGTAGTAGAAGTAGTAGTAGTAGTAGTAGTAGTAGTAGTAGTAGTAGTTGCTGTTGGTGTGGTACTAGCAGAAGTAGTAGTAGTGGTAGTAGTAGTAGTAGTCGTAGTAGTAGTAGTAACAGTCGTAGTCGTAGTCGTAGCCGTAGTCGTAGTCGTAGCCGCAGTGCTAGTAGTAGTAGTAGTAGCAGTAGTAGTAGCAGAAGTAGTAGTAGTACGTGAAGTAGTAGAAGTAGTAGTAATAGTTGGTGCCATTGTAGTAGTAGTTGCATTAGTAGTAGTAGTAGCAGTAGTAGTAGCAGTGGTCGTATTAGTGGTAGTAGTGGTAGTAGTGATAGTAGTGGTATAAGTACTGATAAGAATAACAGAAGTAGTTGTAGTAGTATTAGCAGTAGTAGTAGCAGTAGTCGTAGTAGTACTAGTAGTAGTAATAGTAGTAGTAGCAGCAGTATTAGCAGCAATAGTAGTAGGTAGTAGCATCAGTTGTCGAAGTAGTAGTAGTAGTAATAATAATAATAGCAACAGTAGTAGTAGTAGTAGTAGTAGTAGTAGTAGTAGTAGTAGTAGTAGTAGTAGTCGTAGTAGTAGAAGTAGTCGTAGTAGTAGTAGTAGTAGTAGTAGTAGTAGTAGTAGTAGTAGTAGTAGTAGTGGTAGTAGGTAGTAGTAGTAAGTGTAGTAATAGTAGTAGTAGTAGTAGTAGTAGTAGTAGTAGTAGTAGTAGTAGTAGTAGTAGTAGTAGTAGTAGTGGTGGTGGTGGTGGTGGTAATGCGAGTAGTCATAGTAGTAGTCGGGCGTAGCAGTAGTAATATTATTCGTGTATTTACTCGTTCAAGTAATAGTAGAAGGAGAAGTAGTAGAAGTTGCTGCTGAAGCAGAAACATTAGTAGTAGGAGTAGTAGTAGTCGTCGTAGCACTAGTTGTAGTACCCGTAGTCGTAGCAGTACAAGTCGTAGTAGTAGTAGTAGTAGTAGTAGTAGTAGTAGTAGTAGTAGTCATCATCGTAGTGTTAGTAGTAGTGGTCGTAGTAGACGTTGTAGTTGTAGGCGTAGTCGTAGTCGTAGGCGGTCGTAGTTGTAGTCGTAGTCGTGGTCGTAGTAGTCGTAGTAGTAGTAGTAGTAGTAGTAGTAGTAGTAGTAGTAGTAGTAGCAGTACTATTTGTAGAAGTAGTAGTACTAGCAATCGTAGCCGTAGTAATTGCAGTAGTAGTACTAGTCGCAGTAGTCGTAGTCGTAGTAGTAGGAGTAGTAGTAGTAGTAGTAGTAGTAGTAGACGCAGTAGTCGTGTTAGTCGTAGTAGTCGTGTTAGTCGTAGTAGTCGTATTCGTAGTAGTAGTCGTAGTTTTAGTAGCAGCAATAGTAATAGGCGCAGTAGTAGTCGCAGCAGTAGTAGTAGTAGTAGTAGTAGTAGTAGTAGTAGTGGTAGTAGTAGTAGTCATAGTTGCTCTTGTAGTGTCAGTACTAGTAGTAGGAGTAGGAGGAAAAGTAGTAGTAGTAGTAGTAAAAGTAGTAAAAGTAGTAAAAGTAATAGTAGTAGTAGTCATTGTTGTTAGTAGTTGTAATAGTTGTAGTGATAGTGGTAGTAGTAGTAGTAGTAGTAGTAGTACTAGTAGTCGTAGCAGTCGTAGTCGCAGTAGCAGTATGGTAGCTGTAGTTTCCATGCTCATAGAGGATATTCGATAGGCTTGTCACACGTGGGATGATGATGTGGGCTTCAACGTAAGAAGATAGCAAGTTCGATTCGTAACGTTCCCCTCCTTAACAAAGTTCGGCGTTGCCGCCCCTCTCCACCGACCAACTCTGTCTTGGCCGGGGAGAATCAACTGTCAGAGGGGAGGGGGGGGGGGTATGATTTATCATCCGGGACTCGCGGTTAGAAGATGCGTCTCCAAGAGATGAAAACGTTTTTGGGTTCAGGGTTTCCGAAATCGCCCATTCAGCGTTCTTGCTGGCAGCTTCATGACTCTGTATGGCCGTACCCAGACACTCGACGTCGTGTTTTTGTTTGCAACGTCGACCTCTTCCATTCTTTTCCTTTATAGATAACTCCTCCCTCTTGCACCCCGAGGCTGGTCGAGAGGGCGGGCCTGGCGTTTCGCTTGGGATTTCCACGCCACTTATGACCCTGATGCTGAAACACGGTCAACAACTTCACGGTTTGAGGGCGGCTCGTTTTCAAAATGCGTTTCTCGCTTTAGCGCCGCGCGCATTCGTTTCAAACATTTGCAAGAGCTTCACGGATTGAGTGCGGATCGTCTTCAAAATATGGCTCTCGCTGTATCGCCGCGCACACTCGCTTCAAGCAGTTGCAAGAGCTTCACGGATAGAGGTCGGTTCTGTTTTCAAAATGCCGTTCTCGCCTTAGCGCCGCGCGCGGTCGTTCCAAACATTCGCAGGATTTCCACTGGTTATCATAGCTAACGTACAAGAAATGATATTTTAGAACGGTTCCGCATTGTCAAGGCGCAACACTTACGTTGATTCGTTGTGTTGAAGTCCCAGGAATGGTATTCTGGCGCGGCTCAGGATCGCCAGGACGTCACACACATGCTAATTTGTGGCTTTGAAGGCATGAGAGTGATGTTTTGACACGCTTCAACATGTTCACACAGGTATTCCCCAATGGGGCACTTCCCTCAGTGGACATGACCCCTTGTAGGGGCCTATGATGAGGGATCTTGGGGGGAGGGTGTACTTCGACATCGTTGATGACTATTGGCTTTACACTGGTCCTCCTCCTCCTTTTCCTGCTCCTCCTTCCCCTCCCTGGACCCCGACGTCGTGTTTTTTTGTGGCTTCACACTGTCGACCCCCAGAGGTCTGGACCCCTTCCCCAGCACCGGTCTTTCACCCTGAGTCGATGTCTGATGGAACCGAGGCCCGGTAAGGGCCCCCGGAGGCTAACAATTGCGAAACAGTTTGAGGACGGGGAAGGGGAGGAGGAGGAGGGTGAGTAGGAGGAGGAGGAGGAGGAGGAGGAGGAGGAGGAGGAGGAAGAGGAGGAGGAGGAGGAGGAGGAGGAGGAGGAGGAGCAGCGGCAGCCGGGCCTCCGGCCGCGCCAGCGGGTGCCCAAGAGGACCGCGGCGGCGCCCGCCGCGCCCGCGCCCGCCGCGCCCGTGCGCCTGGGGCCGCCGCCGTCGCAGGGGCTGGAGACGGCGGGCTGGCACAGGCCGCCCGCCCCAGAGGAGGGTGGGGGCATCGGCAAAAGTTGGAGGAGGAGGAGGAGGAGGAGGAGGAGGAGGAGGAGGAGGACGACGAGGAAGGAGGAGGACGAGGACGAGGACGAGAGGGACGGAGGAGAGTAGGGGGAGGAGGAGGGAGGAGGAGGAGGAGGAGGAGGAGGAGGAGGGAGGATGGGCAGGAGGAGGAGGAGGAGAAAGGAGGAGGAGGGAAAAGAAGAGGAGGAGGAGGAGGAGGAGGGAGGAGGAGGAGGGAGGAGGAGGAGGAGAGGGAAAAGGAAGGGTTGACACAGGGTGCCCACAAGCCCCGCCCCTTTCCCTTCCCAGCAAGAGGCCGGTCTGTGTTCATCTCTGGCCTCCTCTCCGTCCTCTTTCTCCTCCTCCTCTTCCTCCTCCTCCTCCTCATCCTCCTCCTCTTCCTGCTTACTCCCCTTCCTTGTCCTCCGCGTTTTTCGTACTTATTTATTGTGCGGCACATGTAACACGCACACACATACACATTGGCTTAAACATGTGTATATTCACGCGTTCACCAAGCCATATGCATGTATGTGTGTATATATTTATGTATGTTGTTTTTTCTTCTCGAGCCCTCTCTCTCTCTTTTCCTTTCTCTCTCTATCACTATGTTCCGTCGTCGTTTTGGTTCAATGTGGTCAGGTTCCCTTGTGAACCTAGTTGGCACCTGTAATCCGCAGCAGGCAGGACTGTTCAGTCTGACATTTGTTTCTCTCTTCGTGCAACGCGCTACATGGGCACACCAATTCTATCACGACGGTCTCTCGCCTATTGGCGTGGGCCTCCTTTACGTCCCCATGGGCAGCGCCGAGGAGTAACGCAGGGCCGCTGCTGACTTGTGGTGATGCAAATGGCGCAAACACCAGCAAACGGGAACGGATTGGTTCAACAGAGCAAATCATAGGTGGTGCTCACAGTGTGGCTTGCCCACAGGATGTGCGTTCAAAGGCCTTCGTCTGCCCACAGTGCCAGCCAAGAGGTCGAACCATGTCTCATCCAAGTCAGTGGCTTCTTCGAAGAAGCACCGAGGTGACTTGCGTGAGCAGGCTCGTCGGACGCAGGGCGGTGGAGAGAATGAACGCGGATAGGCTTCTCCAATAAGTAGCGGCGTCGGCATGGCATTGGAAGAGCGTCTTCACACACTGGTCGGTCTGCTACGACGTTCACAGCCCCTGATGGAAACCGGCTGTTTCGGCCCTGTTGCCAGGCTTCGAGGCGGCGGTTTCATTGTTCGGCGCGGGCACGACGGCCCTCGGAAGTCACACGCTGGATTGGTGGTAGGCCTGGCGGAGTCAGAGATTCGGCGGCCCAAGAGGCTGAATGTTCCGAAGAGCAGCCAGCATCACAGCACAAGACGAATCAGCGCCAGCAGCTCCCAAGTCGGCTTGGCGAAGTGAGACGCGACCGATACAAGCTCATGAGATGGCTGGTCAGGCAGCGCGTGCTGATGTCTTGGACGTGGCAGCCGGCCGTGAACATGTCAAATGGCGCGGCATCGACCTTCCAGCTGGCGAGGCGACGAAGAGGCTCTTGCGCCTGAGTTGCGCGAGCGACGTGAGTGTCACTTCCAGACAGCCCCGCCAATAGGTAAGATGCTCACGGATGCTCGAGTTGTTTCGATTTGACGTGATGGCGATGTTCAGTTGCAGCGAAACGAATGGAAGAGTTGAACCCGTTATGTGCACGGTCGACGCGCTTGGTGTCGTACGTGCTGACACTCGAGTTGTTTCGATTTGACGTGATGGCGATGTTCGGTTGCAGCGGAACGAATGGAAGAGTTGAACCCGTTATCTGCACGGTCGACGCGCTTGGTGTCGCACGTGCTGACACGGGGCTGGAGAAGGAGGAGGAGAAGGAGGAGGAGGAGGAGGAGGAAGGAGAGGAGGAGGAGGAGGAGGAGGAGGAGGAGAGGAGGGATGAGGAGAGGAGGAGAGGAGAGGAGGAGGGGCAGGAGGGGATGAAGAGGAGGAGGAGGAGGAGGAAGGAGGAAGGAGGAGAGGAGGACGTGGGAGGGGGGAGGAGGAGGAGGAGGATGAGGAGGAGAGAAGGAGGGGAGGGGAGGAGGAGGAGGAGGAAGAGGAGGATGCGCCACCGGCATGGGGAAAGAGATGAGGAGAGGACGCCCAGTGGGGAATGTTGGAAATCAGGAGGGGGAGGAAGGAGGAGGAGGAGGGGAGGAGGAGGAGGAAGCGAGGAGGAGGAAGGAGGAGGAATCGTACCGGCATGGGGACAGAGATGAGGAACAATAATGTTGTAATCTGGAGGAGGAGGAGGAGGAGCAGGAGGAAGAAGAGGAGGAGGAGGAGGTGGAGGAGGGGGAGGAGGAGGAGGAGGGGGAGGCGGGGGAGGAGGAGGGCGATGATGATGATGATGATGATGATGAGATGATGATGATGATGAATGCTGGTGATGATGATGATGATGATGATGATTGCATGATGATGATGATCGATGATGATGATGATGAGATGATGATGATGAGGACGGATAGACGATGATGAAGATGTTGATGATGATGATGCGATGCGGATTGCTGTAGGTGATGACGATGGTGGATGATGTGAGGAGACGAGGAAGTGGAGGACGAGGATCGACGACGACGACGAGAACGAGAACGAGGGACGAGGGGGAGGAGGAGGAGGAGGAGGAGGAGGAGGAGGAGGAGGAGATGGATGAGGAGGAGGAGAGGAGAAGGAGAAGAAGGACGATGAGAAGTGGGAGGAGGTAGAGGAGGGAGGGAGGAGGGAGAAGGAGGAAGAGGAGGAGGAGGAGGAGGAGGAGGAAGAAGAAGGAATGAGACGAAAAAGAAAGAATAGAATAGGAGGGGAGGAGGAACAAGACAAATAGAAGGAGGCGAAGACGACGAAGAGAGGAAGAAGAAGGAGGAGGAGGAGGAGGAGGAAGGATGAGGAGGATGAGGAGGAGGAGGAGGAGGCGGAGGAAAAGGGGGGAGGAGGAGGAGGAGGAGGAGGAGGAGGAGGAAGGAGGAGGAGGAAGAGGAAGAGCAGGAGGAGGAGAGGAGGAGGAGAAGAGGAGAGAGGAGAAGAGGAGAAGAGGAGAAGAGGAGGAGGAGGAGGAGGAGAGGAGGAAGGAGGAGGAGGAGGAGGAGGAGGAGGAGGAGGAGGAGGGAGGAGGGCAGCAACAGGAGGAGAGGAGGAGGAGGAAGAGGAGGAGGTGGAAAAAGGAGGAGGAGGACACAGAGGAGGAAACGGAGGAGGACGAAACGGAGGAGGAAACGGAGGAGGGAGAGGAGGCGGAGGAGGAGGAGGAGGAGGAGGAAGAGGAGGAGGCGCATTGGCGCGGGGAAAGAGATGAAGAGGACGCCCAGGGGAGAATGGTGGAATTCGGAGGACGGGGAGGAGGAGGAGGAAGAGGAGGAGGAGGAGGAGGATGAGGAGGAAAAGGACGAGGAAGAGGAGGAGGAGGAGGGGGAAAAGGAGGAGGAGGAGGAGGAGGACCAGTGTAAGAGTCATCAACGATGTTGGATTTATTTTTATTTCCAACGAGAGAAGTGCCTCGATGGAAAACAACCGTTTGAAGACGACCTCGAAGCATGTCAAAGCATTGTTCTCTGGATACCAACGCCACGTATCAGCCTGACTGCTGCGTTGTTTTGTCGATCCGAAATCGTCCCATAACGCCATTGTTGATCTCAACACCGCGAATCAACATACATGTTGCACCAGCATAATCCTGAATCCTTCAGAGCACCTTTGGTACGCTGATCATGGGAACCCGCGAAACCCTTCAAATGTTACAAAGAGTGTGCGCGGCGCTGAGGCGAGAGCCACATTTAGAAAAGGAGCTGCTGGGAGTCCGCGGAACTCTTGCAAATTGTTAGAACGAATGTGCGCGGCGCTAAGGCGAGAGCCACATTTAGAAAACGACCCGCCCTCAATCCGCAAAGTTCTAGCAAGTTGTTTTTAACGAATGTGCGCGGCGCTGAGGCGAGAGCCACATTTTGAAAACCGCCCGCCCTCAATACGTGAAGCGCTTGCAAATGTTTAAAAAGAATGTACGCGGCGCTGAGGCGAGAACCACTTTTTGAAAACCACCCGCGTTCAATCCGTGAAACTCCTGCAATGTTTGAAAACGAATGTGCGCGGCGCTAAGGCGAGAGCCACATTGTGAAAACCGCCCGCCCTCAATCCGCGAAGCTCTAGCAACTTTAAAAAAAAACGAATGTGCGCGGCGATAAGGCGAGAGCCACATGTTGAAAACGACCCGCCCTCCATCTGTGAAGCTGCTGTCACTTTAAAAGCTTCAGAGTCATAAGTGGTGAGGACGTCTCAGGCGAAACGCCCAGCCCGCCCTAAAAACTGGCCTCGGCGTGCGACGGGGAGGGGTTGTCTATAAGGAGAAGGAATGGAGGAGGAGGAACAGGAGGAGGAGGAGGAGGAGAAGGAGGAGGAGGAGGAGGACGAGGACGACGAGGAGGAGGAGGAGGAGGAGGAGGCAGAAGGAAGAGGGGGAGGGAGGCGGGGGAGGAGGAGGAGGAGGAGGAGCGGAGGAGAGGAGGAGGAGGAGGAGGAGGAGGAGGAGGGGCAGGAGGAGGTTAGGAGGAGGAGGGGGAGGAGGGGAGGAGGAGGAGGAGGAGGAGATGGAGGAAAAGGAGGAGGAGGAGGAAAAGGGTAGGAGGAGGAGGAGGAGGAGGAGGAGGAGGAGGAGGAGGAGGCGTTGTGGCATTTGGTTGTCATTTGAAAATTGCTGTTCGTGGATTCGGGGGCGCTCGAGGGGAAACGTACCTGCGCGGCGTCCTTTGGCCATCTGGGAGCCCCTCGTGGCCGTCCTTAGGCGTTATTGGGCAGTCTTGTGGAGCTTGGGCCGTCTAGGGGCGCTCATGCGGATCCGTCTTGGCGACTTCCCCCTCCTCCAGCGCATCTGCAGAGGGCCCCCTTATAAAAGCCGCAAGCGGGGGATGCGAATTTGACCCCCCCGGGGACCACCCCCCCCGCCAGGGAGGGGACAGAGGGAAGGGGCTTCCCCTTGACGTAATGAGGACGTGGATGGAATTCCCTCAAGCGACGAACCCGTTCCCCGAACAAGGAAGGGTGCTCCTTCTCTTCCCCCCCCAGCGGGAGAGATCAGGGCCCCTTTTTCTTTTTCTCCACGGGAGTGGACGGACACCCCGCGCACGCCGACAGGGTCGGCGGATTTTGGCCTGCAGATGTTCGCTCGCCCGTCGGCCTCCTCGTTTCTCTCCCGCGGTCGACGAGCGCCCTCTGCCTATCCTCGCCCCCTGGTGGCGCCGCGCGTCTCGGCGGCCTCGGAATCCGTCCGCGCGCGAGCGCCGAAGTCGCCCGAGACTCCCCCCGCCGCGCCCCCAGCGGGCCATGCCAGGCCGCCGCCGCTCCCGCAGACGGCCGCGCAGGAGGCGGCGGCCCCGCGGGCTCGAACCCCGGGGCCGCTCGCCGGGGGGCCGCGGCGCGGAGAGACCGGGCGAACGGCCGAGGCCGTCTCGGGCCGCGCGCCCAGCGGCAAAGGTTGGCGCGGAGGCCGGGCGCGCCAAGGGCCCCCGCGCAGAGGCCTGGGCCACGGCATGTGGCTTGCCCCAGACGTGCCAGTCCTTCATTAGGGAATCGAGGTACGGTAGGTTTGCGTCGTGTCGACCAGCGGCGACCCCAGCGTGGGCGTTCAAGGTTGAACGGCGCTGGCGACCCAGAATCGATCGACGTTGAACGATCGGACGTTGCGGCAGCGGCCGATCGTTCAAGGTTGAACGATCCCTGCGGTGTCAAAAACCAACGCTGGGGTCGGCACGACACGAACCTGCCGTACTCCGGGGGGCTGGCGCTGCAGTGCCCCGGCGAGTATGCCAGGGTCTGGAAAAGGCAGGTCGCCGCAGAACGAGCCCCGCCAGGCCTCGCGCGCGGGGCCAGAGAGCGAGTTCTTCCGCCGTGGCGTCAGCGTCCTGGCGGGCGCAGGCCGCGCCGGCGCCCGCGCGCGCTTTCTCCCGGGGGCCCGCCGCGTCGGGCGGGCCCAGGGCCCGCGGCTCTTCGGAAGCAAAGGGGGCCTGCGATTGTCTGTCTGCGCGTGCTAAGGCGCCCCCCCGCCAGTTGGCCGACAGCGAGTTTGGGCCGCGGGTCGAACCGCGCGTTGATTGGCGACGGCGCCAGGCTGGAGGCCCCGCGCGGGCCCCCCGCGTCACGGGGGCGCGCGTTCACGCGGCCGCCTGCGTTCATTCCGCGCGCGAGGCTTCGGGGCCCACAACCGCGGCCGCATTAATCCCCCGGTGCTCTTGCGGCGGCCTCAGATGACCCGCGGGGCCGCGGCCGCGCAGCTCAACTTGCCCCGGCGATTTCTGGCGCGGCTCACCGAGCGGGCCCGCGACGAAGTGGCTGGGTCAGCCGAGTCAAGGCGACGTCAGATTTGCAGCACACGACATTTGCGCTCGCAGAGTTCGGGGCAAGATCGGGGGGGGCCCTCGCGCTCCAGTGGCGGGGTCGCCGCGACAGCTCGGAGGCGGGGGGGGGCTCGGCGCCGCGGCAGTTTCTCAGGCGGTGTTTTCTCGCGCAACTTCGCGGCCGAGATGGCCGGGGTGGCCGGCCAGGCCTCGATCTCTGTCCCGCTTGACGCGGCCGAGCGCTTGCGGCGCGATCCACTCCGAGCAGCTGCAGAAGAGGCGGAAGCTCTATCATTCCTGATGCGTCTCTCCTAGTCGGTGGCGGGCGCGCGGGGGCAGCCGCGGCGCGCGCGCGTCGGCTCTCTGCCCCGACCGTTCACGGCGAATCATGCAAGCTAGCGTCGCTGGGTGCGACGGGAATGTCGTTGCTGCTGTCGTTTCGGAATTTGCGGCTCAGCGCCATGGCCCCTCGCGTCGCCCCCAGAGCGCCGAGTTCGCAGTCTGCCTCTGGGGTTTCGCACTTCGACAGGGCGCTGGAAACGTCTGGACGGGATGCGAGGAGTAACGGGCTTCGGGCGCCAATCAAGAAGTCAGAGCTTGTGGTTGGGCGTCGAGAAACTTCGGCTCGGGCGGCGCCTCGGCTCGGTCTTCCCGCTCGAATTAAGGCGAGAAACTAACGGCGCGAGATGGCCGGCGGAAGGGGGGCGCGCGCTCGGGGGAGAAGCTCGCCCGAACAATTCGAGCACGCAAGCGACTGGGCGTCGTTCTGAAGTGCGTCGCGGACAGATTGGCAACGGATCTCTGGCGCGCGGGGGCCATGCCCGTTGCCGGCCACGGCGGCGCCGCGCCTGAAATTTCGGACGCGCCCCTGCGCGGCCTGACCGCTGCCCGCGCGATCGCGAGCCCCGGCCCCCGCTCAAAGGGGTCGTCGCTTGGGCGCCAGGGGCGGCGGCCAAGCGCGCATCCTTTCCTCGGGGCAGAAGGGCGGGCGCGAGGAGGGCCCGGCGGACCTGGGCTGCGCTGAGAGACGCCGCGACGGACAACCCCCGCCCGACAGCAGGCCCGAGGATCCATATTTTCGCGTTGGATTTCGCTGAGAAGGATAAACTGAGCCTCTGCTAATGCGGCCCATGCGCGCGCCCCGGTCGCGGCCGGGGGCGCAGGTCTTTCGCTGCTCAGCGGGGCGCGATGCGATGTGGAATTTAAGCCCGCCCAGCCCATCCAGATGGCTGCGCGCGCGCCCGCTGCCCTGCGCGATGCGCGAAGTGCCGCAACGAGCCCCGGAGGTTTGGCGCTGCGCTCTAACGCGCGGGGCGAAGTCTGTCAAGCGCCCCGAGGACAGGGAGCTCGGGGCGCCGCGCGCGGTCTGGGCCAACGCTTTTTTATACGCTTCCCGATTGGAGCTGCGACGCCCTCCTCGCCTGCCTCGTCTGCTCAGCGCCCCTGGGGCCCGCGGCCCCGCGCGGCACGTCTGCGCGGCGTTCGTCGCCGAGCAGGGGCTGGCGCCCTAGGTCCGGAGGTTCCGGGGAAGTCCCAGAACGGAGGGGAATCAGGAGGGAAAAAAACACACAGACACAATTAATCGTCCATTCCCAGGAAAATATGGGAAAATATGGGAAGTGGGGGGGAAGACAGAAACCCAGAAAATATAAGAAAATATGGGGAATCCTTTTATTTGTGTGTATTTATTTGTGTGTCCTGGGGCCCCTTCAGGGAAGCCTGATTCTGTTCAGTTTGGATGTAGGCGGGGCCCCTGACTTGGACTCCGCATGCACGAATCACGGGGCCCTGCCGACGCCGCCCCTGCCCGATCCCCCCAGGGATTGCCCCGAAGTGTTTGGGCCTTGGGGGCTCCCGCGGAGGCCGGGGCCTGAGTCGCGCCTATAGACGGCGGTCGTTTCTAAGCCAGCACCCCTGGGATCTCCAAAGCGGGTTGGGCCACGATGCGTCTGGTGGATTGACGTTTCACTGCCGCGCCGCGCGCGGGCGTTGCCTGGGCGCCGCCAGACGGCTGGATGGTTCTCGCTCTGCCTCTCTCTCTCTCTCTCTCTCTTTCTCTTTATTTGCTTTTTGTTGTTTCTCGATATATAAATGTATATATTGTATAAGAATATAGATATATGGATACATCTCTCTGTTTACAATTACACCTATATACATATGTATATAACTATGTTTGTATCTCTCTCTCTCTCTCTTTCTCTCTCCTTCCCACCCTCCCTCCCTCTCTCTGCCAACCTCCTGTCCTCTCTCTGTCCTTCTTTCTCCTCCTCTGTTCCTGTTCGCCCTCCCCCCGCATCATCCCAAGGCGTCCTCATGCTCCCCCCTCTCGTTTCTCGTTCCTCTATCCTCCTCCTCCTCCTCCTCCTCCTCCTCCTCCTCCTCCTCCTCTCCTACTCCTCCTCCTCGTTCTCCCACGAGTCCTCGCCCATCTTCCCGCGCCTCCCCCCCCTCCCCCCCCCCCGCCCCCCGCCCTTCCTCCCCGGAGGCCGTGGGAGACGACACGCGACCGCTCCACCTTCGCCATGGGCTTCGCCTCCGCCCTCGTGTCGGACGCCTTCCTGGTCCTGTCGCGAACCTTCCTGCGGGCGGTGGACCAGGGCATCGTGGCCAACCAGCCCGCCTACAGCGCGGAGAGCACCGCCCGCCTCGACGACGTATACCACCTCCACGCCTTCGCGCACCAGGCCCTAGGGGCACTATATCTCTCACAGCCCGACGGAGGACAATAGGGGGCCACATGCGAACCCTAGCCCTACCCCCAACGATTTCTGAGGGGGAGGGTGGGGTTCACTTCGCTCGGGAGCTCCCGAGCGAAGTGAACCCCACCCTCCCCCTCAGAAATCGAGGGGGGTAGGGCCAGGGTTCGCATGTGGCCCCCCAGACAGTCTCGAGCCTGCGATTGGGCTATGACACGTTTTTGGTCTGGCGCTCTGGGCCAGCTTCCGGCGGCAGCGTCGCCTCGTCGGACCCTGGCCTTCCTGCCTGCCAGCGCGCGCGCAGGAGCAAGGAAGGGGGAGGGGAAAGGAAGGCACTGCCTCACGGCACCGCTCCGCTTCCAGGAGCGGGCGCCGGACACGAGGGAAGCTGGGACCGAACAACAAGTGAGGACCAACAGAACCTCCTCCTACACCTCCCCTTCCTCTTCCTCCTCCTCCTCCTCCTCCTCCTCCTCCTCCTCCTCCTCCTCCTCCTCCTCCACCTTCTCCTCCTCCTTCTCCTCCACCTCCCCTTCCTCCTCCTCCTCCTCCTCCGCCTCCTCCGCCATGTCGGTCCCAAAGTTTTTCGGTCTCGGCTTCTCATTCACATGCCGCCCTCTTGGCTCAGGCATGGACGCACTGGAGTGGGGACTCTGACCCTTTGGGCAACAGGCTTCGCCCCATCACCAGCATCCAAAGGAATCCTGGGGGCGGGATCGGCTCTGCAACCCCTTTTCCAGACACGCGACGTCCCGCTTAGTTCACCACGGCGTCTCCAGAAAATACCGACCCGTTCCCCAGGACTGGCGCTTCATCCCGAGTCGTTGTTTGAAAGTCCCGGGGCCCGAAGAGGGCACCCTGGGGCCAAAAAGTAGCGACAAACCTCCCGTCCTGATTTCTTCACGGCGCGATCATGCATGGGTTCCCCCCTCTCCACACGACGCGATCATGCATGGGTTCCCCCCTCTCCACGCCTAGATTCAGCCAGCGGCCCCAAAGCTCCCGACCCAGCTCCCAGGGGGCAGCTCGTCGTCAATCGAGGGACTATAACTGGCTGACAAAAGTTCTGTCGTCGGAGATTTGGAGTTGCCGTCGCGTTCGCGAACCCCGAGGCTGGAAAACCGCCGGGTTTCGACGAAAGCACATGACAATTGCATAATGATTGGTGTTCTATCGCTTATGCACTTCATATGTTTGTTCTTTATTTCCGATGTGCAAATTGATGCAGCAATGAGATAACGAAGTAAGCATGTAATATGCCAATTCATTCGCTGGTCAAAAGTAGCCAAAGTGAGCCCCAAACAGTGTGTTTATAGCAAGTGATATTGTGCGATAGTTGTGGTGCAACCTATGTGGTGAATTATATGAACTTATGTGGTATTCACCCGACGTGGTGCAAAAGATGTTATGCCATCCATTTGGGGTTAAACATATGTTGTGCAAGCTGAATGGTGCAGTCTAGGTGCAATTTTTTTCGTGAACCTTGGAGTTGTCAACCCTACTGCTCGCACAGTCATCCCACCAACCCGCAACTTGGTTTGCAAACCCCATGCAGCGGCGGTTGCCATGAACGCTTTAGTGTTGGCTGGTGCATCTCTGCGACCGCGCTAGCCCGCGCATGCTCGCGCGCACAGCGGCCAGCTAGTTTGGCGCCACCGACGCGTCCGTGGTGGCACTGACCGCTGGGCACTTCCTAGCGGACGCTTCAGTGCGAGTCGGTGGCTTGGGCGGGCGCGGTATCATGGCGACGTCGACAACAGTAGACACGATGATGATAGCAGCTGTGATGGTGACGATGCTGACGCGGACGACGGCAATGCCAATGACGGCGCCGATGCGGATCACGCCGATGATGATGACGGTGTCCCCGCTTCGGTGATTCAGGTTTTCGAAGGAGTTCAACATGCGCGCGCGGCCGGCGCGCGCGAGAGGCCCGCATGGTAGTAGTTGGCAGGGATCGTGCCCCCCCAGCACGAGAGCGTTCGAGCGATTTCGACATGCGCACGCGAGAGGCCCGCTTGGCCGCATGTGATGAGAATGGTGAGAATCTTTGGCTTTCTACAAAGTTCGCAAAATCGCGGGCGCAGGCTTTTCTTCAAACGTGATGTTGCACTGCCAAGTCTGCGACGTGCTTTCGGGACATTCGATCTTGACAGCCGTACGGCACGCACAGTGCTGGAACGATGTTGGCACGCGCGCGCGACAACGCGCGCGTGTACACTTCGTCCCGCTTTCGCACGGGTTGTTTGAAATCTGTTGATGTTTGAAAAACGAGTGCGCCCGCACAGTATGTCTCCACAGAGGACGCCGAAGGGTGTCGATACCGGCCTGGCTGGTATGGTTAGAATTCATATGTCGGATGGACGATGCGGCAGAATCATATGTAACTTGCGATACAAAAATGCGGGTGCCTTATCCAGGGGGAGATCCTATTTTGTGTTTAAAAAAGCGAACGTACGTGGTGCAACCGATGTTGTGCAATCTACGCGGTGCCATATATGCCGTGCACCCTACATGGTGCAATATATGTTGCGCAACTCGTGTGGTGCAATCTGCGCGGTCCAAAAAATGTTGTGCAAGCTACGTGGTGCAGTCCAAACGGAGCCATCCATGTGGTGGAGTGCGTTGTGCATTCTAGACGGTGCAGTCCTTACGTGGTGCAGTGCAATACCTGGGTTGCGTTCTGTGTGGTGCAGCCTCGTGCTGTGCAAGCCACGTGGTGCAACTTGCGCGGTGCAACGCGTGTTGTACAAGCTGTGTGGTGCGACCTGCGTGGCTCAATCTCTGCGGTGCACTCTTTGTGGTGCAACCTACCCAGACCCCCGACGTCATGAATTTTTCATGACGCGATCCCCAGAGGTCTGGACCTATTCGCCGGGACCGGTTTTTCATCCTGAGTTGTTTTTTGACGGTCCCGAGGGCCGGTAAGGGCCCCCAGAGGCCGAAAATATGGAAAAACCTCCCGTCGTGATTTTTTCATGACTCGAGGGGGTCTGGGTATGCGGCGCAGTCCGTGTTCTGCCGCCGAGGGCGGCCATGGCGGCGACGACGGGGGCGGCCACGGCGAGCGCACAGCCGCCAGGCCGACCAACACGGCCCAGGCGACGGGCGGCAACGGGGCCACGACGGCGAGCACATAGCTCAGGAGAGGAAAAAACACACAGACACAATTAATCGTCGATTCCCAGGAAAATATGGGAAAATATTGGAAGTGGGGGGGAAGACAAAAACCCAGAAAATATGGGAAAATATGGGGATTATTTTTATTTGTGTGTATTTATTTGTGTGTCCCAGGGCCCCTTCAATAGCCGCCAGACCAGCCACATGGCCCAGACGACGGACGGCGACGAGGCGGCAACCGGGGCGGCGACAGCGATCACAAAGCCGCCAGACAGGCCACACGGCCCAGTTCTCTAGAGCATCCGTAAGAAACCCTAAGGTGCAGTCACTGTTTGGGGAATCAGTTGATTCAGTAAGTACGTACTTAATGATTTCTCGAATCTCCGGAGCTGCAGATAGACACACACGATATTGTTGGCTCGCTTCGCTTCGCCGCAACATCTTGTCCCTCATCCTCATCCGTCACCCCCTTGCTGGCGTGTGTTCTGGTGGTCGTGCTAGTGGTCGCGCTGGCGGTTTTGCCGTCTACCGGGCGGAAAGAGAAGGGAAGTGAAGGAGGAGGAGGAGGAGGAGGAGGAGGAGCAGGAGCAGGGATAAGGAGCAGAAAGTGCCCGACCTCGTACAGAGCCCCCGAGCGCTGGAGGAGCGCTAGAATGTCGGCGGCCTCGGCAACGGCGCCTCGACCCGGTGCCTCGACCCGGTGCGGTCGTGCTGGTGGTCGTGTTGGTGGTGGTGGTGCTAGTGGTGCTGCTGGTGCTTGTGCTGGTGGTCAGGCTGGTGGTCGTGCTGGTGGTCGGTGCTGGTGGTCTTGCTGGTTTTCGTTCTGGCGGTCGTGCTGGTGGTCGTGCTTATGGTTGTGCTGAAGGTCGTGCTGGAGGTGGTGCCTCTGGTCGCGCTGTTGGTCGTGCTGGTGGTCGTGCTGGCAGTCGGGCTGGTGGTCGTGCCGGCGGTCGTGCTGGAGGCAAGTAGTGCTTGTGGTCGTGCTGGTAGGGCGTCCAGGGGCGTGCGTTTTCGCGAGGAGCGGACACGTCCAGGTGCGCGGTGCCACCAAGGGTGCCGCGCGAATTTTTGGTTGACGTCGACGACTGCTTTTTTGCTTTTATCCGAAGGCTGGGATGGGGATGTCGGGCGCTCTGGGCGGCTGGCGCCGCCCGGGGCGCGGAAGGCTGGAGCGTCGGAGCTCGGCACGTCGTCGACCGTGGTGGAGGCCTGGGCGCTCCAGGGCCTCGGCGTCGTGGGAAGCTCTCGGGAGCCTTGGCCGCCGCCGGGAGCCCCTCGGGAGCCCTGGCCGCGACCTGGCGCTCGTGGGAGCCTTGGCGCGAACGAGGCGCTCGTCAATTTGGGCAGTCCGGGGGCCGGAGGGCTCAGAACACCGTCCGTATGGAGGTACCTTGTGGTCAGAGGTCGTCACGTCTGCAACCGAAAACGTCCCCGAGAGACTTTACGACAGCGTATACACGTGGCATCTCTGGGCCTTCTTGGGGGCGCTTTTGAGCTGCCTTGGGGCTGTTGGGGCCGTCCTAGGGCCCTTTTTCGGGCCGGACGAAAGGGGGGGCATGCAGCTGGTTTCGGCCTCACCGAGGGGCCCATTCCTCGATACATAGCCGCCTCCGGCGCCGGAAGGCGCCGGGAAAATCAGCTACGTGAGCTGATTCTGAACCCCCCCCCTTGCTATCCCCCCCCCCTCCTCCTCCTCCTCCTCCCCTCCTCCTCCCTCCTCTCCTCCTCCTCCTCCTCCTCCTCTCCTCCTCTCCTCCTCCTCCTCCTCCTCCTCCTCCTCCTCCTCCTCCTCCTCCTCCTCCTCCTCCTCCTCCTCCTCCTCCCCTTTCGCCCGACCCGACTTTTGTGTTGTCCTCGGGGGCTTCGTCCGTTCTCAAAAGCCTTCTTGGGCTCGTCTCGGGGCCACCTTGGGCACTCATTGGAGGTCGCTTTTCTTCGGGGGCCTCTCTCGGAGCTGGCTGGGAGCCTTTCTGGGGGCCCTGCGGGGATGCCTTGGGGCCCTATTGTGCCGTCTTGGGGCCTTCTTGGGGCCTTCTTGGGTCGAAAGCTGGGCGAGGGCTGCTAAAACCGTGGCTGCTAAAACGGCCCTCCCGGAAGGAAAAAACAAATTCCCGGAATGAGGCGCGGCACGCGAAACAGTCAACGGGCTTCTTCCCGGAAGGCGAAGACAACTTCCCGGAGGTCGATTTTAGCAGCCACGGATTTAGCAGCCCTTGCCCGGCTTCCCATTGGGGCCCCCAAGGCTCTTCAGGAAAGCTTTCTGGTGAATCCTAGAGCTTCCCTAAGAGCGTTAGCGGCGAAGCTAGGAGAGTACCTCGTAGAACTGGGCGCCGGCGGTAAACCGTCAACCTTGGTTACCGCCAGGGGACTCGTAGAGCTTCCTTGCCAAATACCATGTCCAAAGAATTAGCAGAGTACGAATAGTTTTTCAGTCCGAGCGCGAGAAGCCTGGAAAGGTAAAGCCGTCCACGATAAAACAATGTTTTGGGGCTCGGGGCAGCTTCTTGAAAGTCACCTGGAATGCCTCGTGGGCTATTTTGGAGTTCGCGTGGACTGTTTCGAGGCCATCACGCGCCATTTGGAACGCGTTTGGGCGGTCCTGGGATCTATTGGACCGCTCTTGAGCCGCCTTGGAGCCCACTCGGACCTACAGGAGGTCCTCGTGCACCGGTCGTGACCCGTCTAGAGCGTACTTTCGAGCAGTCTCGGAGCTGTCCCAGAGCTCATCGGAGGTTGCCGAATTAGTTGATGGCCATCCAGGGGATCCCCTTGTCAGTTGATAGTAAAAAAAGAAGGTGTGTATCCATCTATATATATATACACACATATGAAGCACATCGTCGGAGATCTGGAACGCACGAGGCGGCGTCGGGGCGGCGACAGCGAATACGAAGCCGCCAGGCTGGCCACACGGCCCAGTTCTTTCGTGCTAGCATTGTTTGGGGGAATCGATTGTCGCAGTAAGTACCTAATAGGTATCTTTATCTCACATATACATATGCGTATATATATATACATATATATATATATACATATGTGTATACACATACACATGGGGGGGCAGCAAGGGCTGCAAAAAGAGGCCCTTTCGGGCCCCGCAAGGGGCCCTCTAGGGTCCGAAGGGGGGCTTTTAGGGGGAGGAGGAGGAGGAGGAGGAGGAGGAGGAGGAGGAGGAGGAGGAGGAGGAGGAGGAGGAGGTGGAGGTGGAGGAGGTGGAGGAGGAGGAAGATGAGAAGGGGTCCTCCCTTATCATTCGATAGTCAAAGAGAACGTGCACAGGAGAGAACACAGATCTCCGGCTGCTCCAACTTGTCCGATGCGTGGGCCCCGGAGGTCCGGACCCCTTCCCCAGGGCCGGTGTTTCGCCCCGAGTCGTTTTTTGAGATTCTTGAGGCCCGGCGAGGGCTCCCGGAGGCCGAAAACGGCTAAAAACCGCCCGTCCCAATTTTCTGGGGGAGCGCCGGATCTTTGGGAGCGCGCGCAGGAGAGAGCACATCGTGGGAGGCCCCCGCAGGCCCACGACGCCGCCGTGCAGGCGGTCGGTCTGCTGGGCACCCGCGGCGACCGGGGGCTCGTGCTCCGCGGCGGGCTGGGCGCGCTGGCGGCGCTCGCGCTCGCCGTGCTGGTGCTCGTGCACGCCGCCTTCGTGAGCCCCCACACCCAGCTCGCGTCCTCCGAGAGGCTCCCTGCGAAGGGGGGCATCGATGGGGGGGAGGAGGAGGAGGAGGAGGAGGAGGAGGAGGAGGAGGAGAAGGAGGAGGAGGAGGAGGAGGAGGAGGAGGAGGAGGAGGCGGAGGAGGAGGAGGAGGAGGAGGAGGAGGCGGGGTGCAGCGACCCCGAATCGCCCTGGGATCGCCGATATAGGGCCCGATAGCTCCACCCCCGCCCAGGAGCGCGCGGAGTTGCGATCGGGGGCCTCATTGCCGCCGATCCGTCGACGATGTATCGCCGCGTCCTCCGAGAGGCTCCCAGGAGGAGGAGAGGAGGAGGAGGAGGAGGAGGAGGAGGAGGAGGAGGAGGAGGAGGAGGAGGAGGAGGAGGAGGAGGAGGAGGAGGAGGCCCAGAGAGCCGAGATCCAGACCCGGGCCCCCTTGCGTGGTGAAAAAAAAAACACCGCGGGACGTGTGTTCGCTATTTTTTCGGACCCCGGGGCCGTCAGAAAACGACTCGGGATGAGAAGTCGGTCCCTGGGAAGGGGTCCAGACCTCTGAGGCTCGACGTTGTGAGCAAAAACCGCGACATCCGAGGTCTGGGGAGGAGGGGGAGGAGGTGGAGAAGGAGGAGGAGGAGGACAAACGTAAACCCAAGACCCCTCAGAGAAGCTGAAATATACCCTCCCTCCAAGATCCTTCGTCATGGCGCACACCCAGAGGTCCGAGGAGCGAGGAGGAGGAGGAGCGAGGAGGAGCGAGGAGGAGCGAGGAGGAGGAGGAGGAGGAGGAGGAGGAGGACGAGGAGGAGGAAAGAGGAGGAGAGGAGGAGGAGGAGGAGGAGCGAGGTCCTCGACTCTCGGCCTCCCCGGGGGGCCCGTTGTCGGGCCCGTTGTGGGCCCTCGGAGAGGGATCGAAAAAAAAAAAAACCCGGGGGAGAGGGGTCGGGGCCTCCCCAGACGTGCTCGCGGCGGTACAACAAAAATCCTCCTCCTCCCTCCTCCTCCTCCCTCCTCCATCCTCCTCCTCCTCCTCCTCCTCCTCCTCCTCCTCCTCCTCCTCCCCAGGACGGGCGGTTTGTCGCCAATTTCGGCCCCTGGGGGCCCTCGCCAGGCCCCTGGGCCGTCAGGCTGCAAAGCCAGCCCCGGGGAAAGGGGCTGGACTTCCGGGGACGCCGCGCGGAAAAGATCAGGGCGTCGCATGTCTGGGGTCGGGACCCCTGGGGCCGCGGATTGAAAAAAAACCTGTCGGCGGATGTCTGGGGACGCGCGCGCCGCGCTGAATGCGGCGGTGCATGCTTGGACGCGGCGCCCTGACTCCCAGCCGTCCCGTGGAGCTGGGCCCCCCACGCCCAGCTCGCGTCCTCCGGGAGGCTCCCAGACAGGCGGCGCCCTGATGCCCAAAGCCATCCTGTGGAGTCGGGGGCCCTCGCTTGCGAAGAGACGGCGCCCCGCATCTTCCTCCTCCTCGCCCTCCTCCCTTCCCCCTCCTCCCGCTCCTGCTTCTGCCCTCCGCGCGTGCACTTCGGCGCGTCCTCCGAGAGGCTTCCAGACATGCGACGCCCTGATTCCCAACCATCCTGTGGAGCCGGGTCCTCGTCCGTGAAGAGACGGCGCCCCGCGTCTTCCTCCCCCTCCTCGCCCTCCTCCCAACTCCCTCGGCCCTCGGCCCTCCTCCTCCTGCTCCTCGCCCTCCTCCCTTCTGCCCCTTACCCCCCTCCTCCTCTCCTGCCTCCTCGTCCCTCCGCGCGTACACCTCGCCGCGCCCTCCGAGGGGCTCCCGGACATGCCACGTCCTGGCCTTCCCAGCGCGGGGGGCCCCCGGACGTCGCGACACCCGCTCCCCGGGCCCGGGCGTGTCCTCTCGGGCCGTGCTCTGCGGGCCTTATGGGGCCCGGCCAGGGCCCCCGGAGGCTTCAAACCGGACACCAGAAGCTCCCGCCGTGATTTTTTTTAGCGACTCGGGCACGTGCGTGGGCGTCGGCGCCCTGGCGTCGCGCCAGATCACGGCAGGAGAGGTGGGGTCATGTTCCGGCTCCGCGGGAGCCCACGGGGCCCCGGGTCTGCCAAGGAAGCGACGCGGGACGAGCAGCCAGCCTGTGGGGGTCCACGTGGCGAAGAGAGCCACGGCGTCGGAGCTGGGAGTTTCGGGGTTTCGGGCGTCGTCGTCGTCTCTTGGCGACGCTCAGCCTCGGGATGCCTTCCAGCGGCTGCGCCTCGCCGAGAGCGCTGCGGGGGCTGACAGGTCCCACACGGCCGCAGCAGAGCGTGAGGGAGGGAGGGAGAGAGAGGAAGGGGAAGAGGAAGCGGAAGAGGAAGAGGAAGAGGAGGAGGAGGAGGAGGAGGAGGAGGAGGAGGAGGAGGAGGAGGAGGAGGAGGAGGAGAGGCGGAGGAGGAGGTGGAGGAGGAGGAGGAGGAGGATGAGGATGAGGATGACGAGGAGGAGGAGGAGGAGGAGGAGGAGGAGGAGGAGGA